AAGGGCTCCGGACTTGAGCGGAGAGAGCCTGTGCCAAGCCTTGGGTGCCCAAACCAGCAGCAGCATGGGCCTGATGATCCTGGAAGAGAGCACAGGGGTCAGGAGCCTGTAGTGGCCTCAGCCCTGAGTCAACCCCCATGGCTCTGGGGAGACTTGCCACCCTCTGACGGACCAAGCCCACAGTCAAGTGCACTGCCCCTGCTCCTTAATGCTCCACAGGGCACAGAAGTGCATCAGGTAAAGTACAGCCCCTGCTTAGGTGTCCCCCAGTTCTGCGCCCGCGGCTCCGTGTGGCCTGGGAGGCACTCCTGCACCTCGCCATCTCAGGTGACTGAAAGCGTTCCAAGTGCATGCCTTGCCTGAGTTCCTGAGCACGCGCGCCTGTTTGCAATAAATCCCCGTTTCTTGAAAGGAGGCGGGTGAGTCTGGTTTCAGCCTCCAAGGACGGACTCCTCCAGACCTCCTGCGGCCTGCCTAGCCCGCGCTCAGCAGCGACCCTGCGCGCCCACACCAGTCCGCCCACAGGGCGCCCCTTCCATGTGCAGCTTTCCTGGTGCTCTCACCCGGGGGTGGGTAGCGAGGTCTCGACTTGGCACAAGCCTACCCTCTTCGCATCTGGGATCCGACACCGAATTCGGTGTCCTCCGTGCCTTTCTCGCAGGAACCCCGGAAAGTCTGCTAGGTGGACATCCTAGGACTCCCCCTCACCTGTTCAGCTGCTGAAAAGACCCTCCGGAGAATTCCTGTGCGTCTGGTCTCGGCCACGGCCGGTGGCTTGCGCTCGGGGCTGGACGACCTTCCGCACGTCCCACGGGCTCTGCCCGCCAGCTTCCTCCTCTACGTACGCACTCTAAGCTGTGCCCGGGATGTTTCCGGCAAGCGAAGGCAGCCTCTGGATACTTCCTGGGCCCCTCTTCCACGGCGCCCTCCGGGACGCGCAGCTGTCTGTCGAGCGGTAAGGTCAGAAAGCGGACACCGGCAGGGGCCACGCACCCGGCACAACCCAGGCTCTCTGGGACCCGGCGTCTGTATCGCGAGTCAGGGGACAGTCCCGCCCTCTGCGAGGTTTTCGCCGCCGCGGGCTCTACCACGAAGCACGGTCGGGGGTCCCCAGGCTCCTGCGCTACCGGCACGCTCGCGACCAGCGCGCATGCGTCAAGGGCCTGGCGCAGGCGCACGCGCGCGAGGTGCCCCTCTACCCCCCCCCAACCCCGCCGCCCCGCGCGCGTGCGCAAAAGGTGGCGGGTGCCGCCCGAGGCCAAGTGCAGGACGAGGCGGGGTTTCCTCCCCGGCCCCGCCCCTCCCAGCTACCTGCGGCTCAGGCCGCCCTCCTCTCGGAAGCCTCGGGGCTCGCGCCCTTCCCGCCCCTCTCCTACCGTTCGCGCGCCGGGCACGGACCGGGTTTCGCCCTCTCCCGCCTTACTGCTGTATGTGGGTCGGCGCAGGGCGCGCGGTCCAAGGGCACGACGTCCCCTGCAGGCCAGCGGGCGCCAGGAGGGGCGGGGATCGGCGCCTACCACCGCGGGAGCGGATCCCCAGCGCGGCTGCCCAGCGCGGCTGCCCCCGGACAAGCTCCGTGGAGCCCGCCTCAGGCGCCGCGGCGAGGGACCAGGGAGGCCCTGGGGGAGGGCGGGAGGGCCTCTGGCCGGCGGGGGGTGGGGGGGGGCGAGAATCCGGGACTCAGCAAGGAGAGTGGCCAGGGCCAGGGGTCGGGAAGGAAAGGGCACGGGAACTCAGAGAAGGGAAGGGGCCGGGTTTGGGAGGGACGGAGGTCTCCAGGGGCTGTCCGTCCGCGGGCGCGTGGAACTCCTCTTGCTCCCGGGCGCGAGGGTCTCGGAGTATAGGTCTCGGGCCAGGCTCAGGTCCAGGCTCTGCGCCTGAGCTTCCACTTGAAGCGGTCCTGGGGCTGAGCGGTCGTCCCGGCCCCGAAAGGCAATGGGACCTAACTGCCGGAGTTATGAAGGAGAGCTTGAGCTCCCATCATGACACCCACCCAGACAGGCCACACAGTGTCCAGGAGGCGCAGATGCTCACCAGTGCTCTTGCCAGCTCCTGGGCGTGGCTAGGGAATACTTGCTCCTCCAAACTTCAGGTCCACCACCAGAGCGGATGGGGTCTCCACCATTTTTGTTTTTATTTTTTTAAGTTGTCTCCATTTGTCAGGGAGAGAGAGGAAACAGAAGCAGGGCGAGTGGGAGAGGGAGATGCAGGCGCCGTCCCCACCCCCCAGCAGGGAGTCGGACGTGGGGCTTGATCTCAGGACCCAGGGACCTGAGCCACCCAGGTTCCCTTCTCCACCATCTTCTGATGGAGGATGTAAGCTGTGGGGGAAGGCAGAGGGGGCTGGAGGTGGTAGGGAGCCTGGAGCTTCCTGGGAGATGTGGGGAATGCTGACTTGGGTCAGTTATGAAGGGTTAAGAACCCTAAACATTGAGGACCAAGTTCCCTATGGAGGGGGAGCATCAGTCAGGTCACTTTCTTAATTTGGTGGTCAGGCATCTTGTTTTGTTTTTTATTTTTATTTTTTAATTTTTTTTTATTTTTAATTTTTTTTTTTTAAAGATTTTATTTACTTATTTGACAGAGAGATCACAAGCAGGCAGAGAGGCAGGCAGAGAGAGAGGAGGAAGCAGGCTCCCCTAGAGAGCAGAGAGCCCGATGCGGGGCTCGATCCCAGGACTCTGAGATCATGACCTGAGCCGAAGGCAGCGGCTTAACCCACTGAGCCACCCAGGCGCCCTTGTTTTGTTTTTTAAAATAATCTCTACACTCAACGTGGGGCTTGAAATCACCACCCGGATATCAAGAGTTGCATACTCTGTCAACTGAGCCAGCCAGAGGCCCCGGTGGTCCAGCTTCTTGTGATGACGGGACACTGACCCTGGGGTTGGTTCAAATCACCTGTTTCGGGGGAGGTCCCATGGTCCCCTGTTGGGGATCTGGACTTTGTGCGGTCAGAGGTCAGGCGTCTTTAATACGTAGGAGGTAGATCCAGAGCCTGGGCACAGGCTACCTGTAATGACTAGCCGGCTGCTAACGGCGGCTGACACCCCTGGCTTCATACAGGAGTCCATCCACAGGAACCAGCCTCCTGTTGGGACCCACAGGACAGCAGCCCACTCCCTCCAGCAGCCCTTGTATCGGGCCAGATTCCCCTGCATCAAGAATCCCAGTGACCTTCAGTGACCCCTGCACTGATGCTGTCATCAGGAACCATGAAAAATGTCCAAGAAAATGACCAGAGACTTATGAACAAGTCTGATACGTCCTCAGTAATGACTGGTTTGACCCATCAGGGATATTGACCAATATCCTATGGCCCATTAATGATTGATCAGAGACCCAACAGTGATTTTGATGAAGTCCCTATTAATGACTCCAATTGGAGTTTCTCTGGAAACCAAAGTTCAGTGACCATCAATGATCCATAAATAACTTTGATCGATATCCAACACTGATGAAAGATCTATCAGTGATCCTTCAGAGATTCTGGCCCGTATTACTATCAATAACCTAGATCAGTGAGCAGTCAGCCTATCTGTACCTGCTCTGTGCTCTGGATGGCAGTGAATGCAGAAGTGACTCCAGTTTATCCAAGTTGTGCCCCCCTCTTAACTCCAGACCACATTTGTTGGTCATTGGTACCTGCTGGGTAGGGGTGTTGAAGACACCTGCACAGCTACTCCCCTTACTTTCCCTGGTTAGGACTTCAGCTGTGGTGGATGTGCAGCTGGTGGAGGGGGAATGGAAAAGAAATTGTCCCGATTTGGTATGGGGAGTGATGAGGAGGACTATCCTGAGGGCTCAAGTTTGGGGAACCAAGGTAGAGGAGTACCCAGCTCTTGCCTTGGGAATCCGGACTGGGGTACCCAAGGAGCTGGATAACTTGGTCCTGTTATGGGGGCTGATGGGAAGGGGGAACCTAAGTTCTGTTCTGGGGTTGAGAAGCCTGGGGCGGGGGTCTGCCTTTGGGGACTCTGTCTAGGCCAGGCTTGAAGTTAGAAACTTCCTGTGGGTTGCTGACCTCTTTGAGGTCAGACGTTCTGATCTGGAGAGGAGGCATCTTCTAACCTTGCAGCCCACAGGCAGCTAGGGCGGGTAAGAAGACCGGGCCGACCTTGTCGCCCACTCGCCCTGTGGAATAGTTCTATGTGAGCTGCTCCCCAGACTTGGCCAGGGCCTGGGTCAGCGCCACTGTCTTCTCCAGACCCATGCCTTGCAGTGGCACGGCCATTAGCATCGCCCCGAGGCATAGGATATTGTGGTGCGGTGAGTTATCGTGGGGTCACTGACAGTGGTGGGGCCCAAGGGGCAGGCGGTCTCTGGGGCTGATCTTGGGATCAGAGGCGTCCAGAATTTCCCACGCACCAATTTGCGCGCCCTGCGCGCACCAAGCCCCAGATGGACCCCTATCAGGCGGATCAGCTCCGGTAGTTGCCCGGGGTCTGGCGGGGGGCCTGGAGGGCCCCGACTCCCTGTGGCCCCATCGCTCCGGGCCTGCGGGGTGCGAGACAGCCGGCACCTGCCACCGTCCCGCGTCCGTGTCTCTGCGGCAGGTGCACTTTTGCCGACGGGATCCGGTTTCTCCCTTTCGTGTCCAAGCCCCTGTCCCGTGTCTGTGTTGCCCAAGCGCCTGTCTCCGTGTCTGGCTCCCACTTCTCGGCCTCCCAACTTGACCCCGGCCTGAACCTGTCCCGGACAGTGGCCGTCGCCCGCCCTGCTTTAGATTCGTCCCGCCTGGCCCCGGGCCACAGGAAGACGGCGGGTGGGCGGTGCCGCCTAGACAGACGGGACTCTGGGCCAATGGCTGCGGCGGGGGTGGGACGCTCCCGGCTGTCGTCTGCCCCGTCCAATCACGAAGGCCCGCGGCCGCGAGACTTCCGGGACTTCCCAGGCCGGCGGGCGCGCGGCGGTCTGGGGTCCCGTGGGCACTAGAGTCCCGACGCGCACGCCCCGTGCTCCGACGCGCACGCTCCCCGCCCCGCGCTCCCGCCGCGAACACAGAGAGGCGGACACGCTGCTGGTTCGGGAAGCTTTAGGCAAATGTCTGTCGGGCCGCGCCCTCCCGGCGGGTCAGTCGTCCGCCTTGGTCGGGACCCGAGCCAGGTAGTCCGAGTGCCGGATCCCGAAGCTCCAGCCGCGGGGTTTCCGGGGCTGCGGGACCAGGAGACGTCGCTGACCCCGCGGGCCAGCCGTCCAGCCGCCGCGCGGGGACCCCCGGGACCCTGACCCTCCTTCCCCGCCTCTGACCCTGGACCCGGGCTTCCAGACCACCTGGTCCACGTTGTAGGCTGCGGGCCCGGGATTCAGGGTGTTATCTTGCGGGAGCGAAGTCCGCGCCAGCATGGAGAACTGGGGGGCCCGAGACTTGTAGATCCCAGTGTTCACCGCGTGGTAGGCGCAGGGGCCCGGGGTCTGTGGGAGGGCGGCAGGGGCGTTGGGTCCGGCCTCCACTCCCCGCTGGCCACTGGCCCTCACCTCCTGCTTCGTGCCCCCTGTGGCCCGCCCCGCCGACCCCTCGTTACGGCCCGCCTGGCAGCCCCGCCCCACCTTGCTGAGGTCCTCGAAGAAACTGCCCACTGCGCTGCGGCCGTAGAGGGAGTAAGTTGGGGCCGAGACTTTACCGATGACGCGCGGACCCAAGAGCGAGGGCACAGTGTAGGTCCCAGGGCCTGGGGAGGAGCCAGCGAGGGGTGGGTCTAGGGGGTCAGTCTTCGCGGACAGGCCGGGGTCTCTGTCCTCCTCCCCCCCGCAGCCGGCAGAGCGGTTGCCGGTCGGGGATGGGAAGGTCCGCGGGGCTGGGATGGGCCTTTCGGTCTCACCTGGTGTCTGCTGCTTCGCGTGGGTGCCCCAGTTTCGGGGAGCGATGGTGTGCCGAGGCGCACTGGGGTACGTCGCGTTCCCGGCTCGCTCGGGGAAGTACCTGCCTGCGGGGCGGACCGGGGGTGTGGGCCGGAACCAGGTTGGGGGCGTGGTGGGGTCCCGGGTTGGGGGCCTGAGGTTAGGGTGACTCCGAGCCACGATTTGTCAAAGCCTGGTGGGGCTTGGAGTTCTTCCGAGATGCGGGTACGGGGGTACCGAGTTTGGAGTAGTAGGGTACGCGAGGGCGGCTCGGGGCTCGGGTGGGGTATTCCCGGGTGGGCCTTTCTGGAGGCGGCGCGGCGTTGGGGAGACCGGGGTCCCAGGGGTCCTGACCCGGTCCGGGAGTGAGGAGGGGCGCTGCGTGGCGGGGGCGGCCGTAGATGGAGTAGGCGGGGGTGCCGTCGCGGCCGCGCACGGTTATGTGTGCAGGAACCAGGTGGCCGGGCCCCGGGCCGCAGGAAGTCTGCTGCGAGGGCAGGCGCGCGCCGAAGGAGAAGGCCGGGGCGCGGGGCCGCGACGGGTCGTGTAGGACGTAGCCTGCGGAAGCGACCCAGCATCACTGTGGGGCCCCCGCCGCTCCTCGCTCTGGGCACAGCCCGCCGTCCCTCGAGAACACACCCCCTTCCTCGCCGCCCTGCAGCCCAGGCACGGCACCCGCCTCCCGGCACAGACCTCTCTGGCCCCGTCTGTCTACACCCGCCCGACGCCGGTACCGGTGTTCCGTGGCAGCATGTATTTGGGCCCCGGGCCTCTGTAGAGCGCTGCGATGGGGCCGCGGGGCCGGTGGGGCCGCCAGGAGCCGACCCAGACGTCCGAGCCCATAGCGCGCAGGGGTGGGGTGCGCTCACGGCCTGCGGTACCTGTGGGCAGAAGGTGGCGGCCCCGGCCCCTCCACCCACCGCTCCCGCAGAGCGCACTTCTCCGCTCCCGCTTCTCGCGATCCGGGGGCGGGGCCTATCCTGTATCCCAGGAGCCGGGGAAACACACCCGAGCTTCCCCGGCCCTGCTGGGGGCGGGCGGGGGAGGCCTAGCTCTCACCCCGGCCCCCAGAACGAGTCCAGTAGGGGTGTGTGAGTGCGCAAAGTTTGGTCTCAAACCTGCGGGAAAGGAATTCCCTGGGGTTTTGGGGGGCCGGGATGTTTTAGGGGCATTGGGTAAAGGACACCAAGGTGAGGGGGCGCGGTCGGAACCCCGGTGCCCGGAGGGGGCCCCAAAGTTGATGCACTAACCTGTTTTTGTGGCTCCCGGCCGGGAAGGCAAGGTGGGGTGCCTGGATTCCCGCCCCTGCCCAGCCCAACTCCCAGACCCCATTGTGTCCAGATCTCGCCTCCTGGCAACGGGGACTGTCCTGCCCTTACCCCAACCTGGCTCCGCCCCCCCCCCCCCCCCCCCCCTACCTGCTGTGGACCGGGCTGCTCAGAGTCCTTAGCACTCGCTGGAGCCCTGCAGGCGGGGCCTTGGACCGGAGTGCTGGTGCCACCCTTTCCCAGGTTTCAGTACACCCATTCCAGAAACGGACGGATCTGCAGGGGGGAAAATGTGTATATACATATATATTTTTTTCATGTATATGAATTGTGAAATGCAATGAAGTATATGAATGTTTTTCATATATGTGAGAAAAAATATATTTGAGAATTAAGAAAAAAAGGAGTACAAACAGCAAGTTCAAGTGAATTGTTCCGTGTAGAGAGAAAACTTTGCATTTAAGCCCACGGAATATTTGCGGAAATAATCTGGGCCATAAAACAAAACTGAAGATAAACATACAAATTGCATGAAGAGACGTAGGACACGTATTTGATCAAACTTCAAAGTAATTCTTTTTAGAAAATATTTTATTTATATGTTTATTTATTTGAGGTGGGGGGAACTTGCGAGCTCTCAGATCTGTGAGCAGGGGGAGGGGCAGAGGGCGAGGGAGGGACAGAATCTCAGGCTGGCTCTGCCCTGAGCCTGGGGATGGAGGTGGGGCTCCACCCCCCCCACCCCAGGATCATGGCCTGATCCAAACCAAGAGTCCCATGCTGAACCAGTGAGCCTCCCAGGTGCCCGTAAAGTCCAAAATAAATCTAAGGAAACAGTAAAATATTTTTTAAAGGATAAAAACATAAATACCAAGATGTTAACAAGTTCTCTTAAAAAACAACTGGATCAGGGCGCCTGGGTGGCTCAGTGGGTTAAGCCTCTGCCTTCGGTTTAGATCATGATCCCAGGGTCCTGGGATCGAGCCCCGCGTCTGGCTCTCTGCTCAGCGGGGAGCCTGCTTCACCCTCTCTCTCTGCCTCTCTGCCTACTTGTGGTCTCTGTCAAATAAATAAAATCTTTAAAAAAAGAAAAAAAAAAACAACTGGATCAAAGAGAAACTCAAATGTGAAGTTGCACATTATATGTAAAACTCTCAAGGATAGATCCCTCATATCCAGCTCTACAGGACACAGCTAAAGCTGTGCTCAAAGAAAACATATACCCTTAATACATTATTGATGAAAAAAAATTTAAGTATAAAGAAACTTATTATTTATCTTAGAAACAGGAAAAAGGACAATTGAGTAAACTGAAAGAACGTCCGTTCTCTTGAGCTCTGCCGCTCCCCAGCCTGCTCCTGGAAGAGGAATGGGATGAGGAGTGCCCAGGGGTTTGTGGAAATTCTGGTCTTTGCCAAGGGAGCTCTGAGCCCAGTGCACAGGGAATGAGAACCAAGAATGGGCATTGCTGGGAGCACACGTCTGGGCCCTCCAAGGGGACCTGAGGGCGGTAGAGGGCGCATTGTGTGTAGAGAATTTAAAAATAATACAGTGAGCCAGAGTTGGTCAGCTTTCTGTTATCCCCATGAGACCAGCAATTCTAAAGGGTCAGAGATAAAACACTCCTCCACAAATCTTTTGTTCGTCCAGTTTTATTTATTTTTTATTTATTTTTTTTTAAAGATTTTATTTATTTATTTGACAGACAGAGATCACAAGTAGGCAGAGAGGCAGGCAGAGAGAGAGAGAGAGGAGGAAGCAGGCTCCCCGCTGCTCAGAGAGCCCGATGCGGGCTTCGATCCCAGGACCCTGGGATCATGACCTGAGCCAAAGGCAGAGGCTTAACCCACTGAGCCACCCAGGCGCCCCATTCGTCCAGTTTTAAATAATACTGTGGTTAGTGTTGAATCTTAGCAGGGTATATGTTTCAAATTAGCATTTTTTATTACCCACCCTTTAGGAAGCATTGTATTCTATATGGATATTAATTCAGACTCACTATAAGGTTTTCTTAGAAGCCTAAGTGCCTCATGGTTGGGCATTGCGAATGGTTTTTAGAGCTTGAGGGGTAGTTAGTGTCTCCTCTCCAGGGGTAACTCATCTCTCTCTCTAATCCTTGGGTGTGAGATGAACAGTGGCGCCGGAGTGACTGTAACGAGGGAGAAACAACTTCAGGTTTCTCACTTCTGTAATTCTGTGACCGTCTGGAGTTTTTATTTGTGTTTAAGATTTAAACGCTGTAATAATTTTGTTTGGTTGGTGCAAACTTTATTTCATATGTAAAATATCTTACTAGAAATTGCTCATCTTAATTGCTTATCGGAGTAAAGAGCGGGTCGGTGGCCACTGCTGATTGTTAGGCTTTGTTGCCGAAAAGCATGTTGCGGAACAGCAGGGCTGTTGACCAAAGCTCCACGCGGGGGTCAGATGCACCGGGTCTGTCTGCCTGGCTGGGGGACCCATGGGGTGCGTTGTGCTATGGGCTCCTAGGGGCTCCTGGCAGCTTGGCCATCGAGGGTCAGCATTTTCGTGGGAGTTGGCACCTGGGCGGGCAGTCCCAGAGCCGGTGCCCGCCCCTGCGCCCCAGGACTCTGCCTGGACTCAGTCACCAGGTGGAGCAGCAGCTCTGACAGTCAGAGAAGGACGAATGTGGGCAGAAAGTGAGGACTGCGGGCAGGACTGCATGCTGGGGCCAGTGGGCGGTGAGAGGACAATGAATGTTTTATTTCACTCCTCCCATGGAAGTAGCTTGATTTCTACCCAAGATACAAGCACGGTGCGTCCTGCCCTAAGGAGAAAGCCGGCCTATGCAGAAAGACACGACCAGGAGCAGACGCCCCTTGATGCTCGTCCTGTTCCAGAATGGGCTCGTCTTTGGTTCACGGTTCCATGCCTGCCCCAGGCCAGCGGGGACAGGGCTTCCTGTACAAGGATGGCGTGAGGTCATGCGGTGCTCACTCACACTTAGGCCGGTCCTGCAGCTTTCAGACCTATTGTGACCAGGTACTATGAACGCCACTAAATAAATCTTCCCACGTTTCCCCAAATGCTGCTCTAGGGTGAACTTCCTGTGTGGGTTTGCAGGGTCAAGGGAGTAGATGTTTTGTGATTCAGCCTGTGTTGCCTCATGGCCCTCCTCAGAGGTTCAGACCCCGAGAATGCTGGTCAGTGAGGAGAGAGCCTGAGTCTCTTTTGGTCACTGTTTTGTCCCTAGTGGGTCATAAATATTTGGTGAATAAATAAATGAGTTAATACTTTCTTCAATGTATCATGAGTGTTTCTATTTCTGTATACCCTAACCAGTGAAAGTTAAGAACAGCCTTTTAAGTGATAATATCCAAATATGTTTATCGAGCGTGTATTATACATCAGGCACTATTCTGAGAACGAATTTGCTGGTATTGATTTAACCCTCACTGTGAAGCTTGAAATCAAGTATTATTATTTATTCCAGTTTCATGCACAAGGAAGCTGAGACCCGAGGGCTACATGCGTAGAAGGTGAGATTCAAATCCAGACTATCCGGCTCTCACTCTAGACCCTTCATGAGTCACAGGGCCTCTAAATCTTGGCCAGTCGCACCTGAAAATAAGGCCTTATTTTGTTGAGATTTGCATTCCATTGGTTCTTAGGAAGAATGAACATAATTCATATATTTATTGGCAAACTGCCTGTTAATGTGTTTTCGTCAATTTTTCTGTTTGTGTCTTCATATATTTCTTATTGATTTGTAAGACAGTTTTAAAAAATTTTATTTGGGGGGCACCCGGGGGCGGGGCTCAGTTAAACGTCCAACTTCGGATTTTGTCTGAGTTCATAATCTCAGGCTCATGAGATCGAGCCCTGCGTGGGGCTCTGTGGTCAGAAGGCAGTCTGCTGGAGATTCCCTCTCCTCCTCCCTCCTCTAAAATAAATAAATCATTAAAAAAAATTTAATCTGTACACCCAGGGTGGGGCTCAAACTCATGGTCCGGAGATCAAGAGTCACATGCTCTACTGACTGAGCCAGCCAGGTGTCCAGGATGACTTTGTTACATATGTTAAGTTTGGCGGGGGGGGGGGGCATATGTTTTCCAGATTTGTTGTTTTTCTTTCAGGTTTTTGTTGGTAATTAAAAAAAAATTTTTTTTAGGATTTTATTTATTTATTTGACAGAGAGAGAGAGATCCCAAGTAGGCAGAGAGGCAGGCAGAGACAGGCTCCCTGCCGAGCAGAGAGCCCGATGTGGGGCTCGATCCCAGGACCCTGAGATCATGACCTGAGCTGAGCCGCCCAGGCGCCCCTGTTGTTGGTAATTTTTGTTGTACAGGAGAATGACATATTTCTGCAGTTCCATACATCAGACATTTCTCTCCGGGCTTCTAGCTTTATGGCACAAAGAGAGCACTGTCGTCGTGTTTCCTTGAGTGTGCACACTCACACACACACACACACACACAGCCCTATGATTTTAAATTTATCATTTGGAATTTATTCTGTGTGTGGAACGAAGGAGGAATATACTTGATTCTCCCTCCTCCAGTACCATTTATCAAAAAAAAAAAAAATCAACTCCCAGATTGTTTCTGGGTTCTCTCTTCCTGCTGGGTCCTGCACCAACGCTCTCATGTTTTCTTACGGCTTTCTGGCGCCTTTTGATTTC